TCAGTGGCCTGGGTTCGGTTCCTGGGCCCAGACTTACATTACTCGTCTGTTAGCGGCCATGCTGTGATGGTGGCTCACGTAAAAGGAAAAAAAGAGGAAGATTGGCAACGGATGTTAACTCAGGGTGAATCTTCCTCAAAAAAAAAAAAAGTTCATAGTGGGCCAAAGGATTATACATAGATTTTTTAAAAAAATTAATAACAACTTTATATACAACTGTTTTCACAGCTATTCATCTCACAATTCTCCATTGTTGACCAAAAGACCGATTCCACAACGGAAAAAGAAAGGAGACAAATAAAATGTAAAGTTATTTTCAATATTGAAAAACTGCTCCAAGCTCACATTTCTGTTGGTGAGACAGTAGCTTCATCTTCATACCCAGATAATAATACAATTCCATTCTACTCCTTTAAGCTTTCTGATATTTTTATCTATAACAAGAATCATTCAGAGCCAAATGCATATAGCTCTGTCTTTGACCACAACACTGATAAGTTTGCTTTTGTTTGAAAATATTAAAAATAAAAGAGAAAGACAAAGTTTTCCTAGCCATGAGAAAATAGACATCTGATTATAAGTTAGCCAAGAATTCCATGCAGTGGTTATATTGTTTCTCTTTAAGACCTTTTGACACAATATTTGATACAGTGTACAGGTTTCATGTATTAAACCATGTCTTGATATTTCACAAAATAAAGACAAGGAATGCTCTTCAGGCCCAACCTGACATGATTTGTCATTCTGCATTCAAAAATAAAATAGTTAATTCCTACTTTCTTTGAGCTTTCAGTTTTAAGTTAAAAATATGATCAGGGAATTATATATATATATTTTTTAACTTTTTTTTAATTGATGTTTTAATAGTTTATGAGAATTATATATTTTTTAATTCTTTATTCATACTAATCAAGGCATTTTTCTCCCTAATGACTAACATTTCTGTTAAACATAAGACAGGAAGATTATATTTAGACAATATAGTAAAAGTTCGTGCTTCCAAATCTTATGATATATAGTTCTGATATTTTCTTCATTTCTCCCATTTAAATGTTTCTACTTTATACCAAATAATAACAACAGTAGCTAACATTTATTGAGTGCTTTCTAAGTGCCAGGCACTTTACGTGATTTATATCATTTCTTCTCCACAAGGACCATTTGAGGTACTATTATCCCCTTATACACAAGGACATTGAGACTTACAGAATGGAAGTGATCAAACCAGAGTTATTAAACTAATAAGGAAGGGTGCTAGTCCAGGTTCTTGAACTATGCTCTCTGAGGTACAAGGTAGTGATAAATGATTTACTAATATTTCATGCATAGTTGATGAAAATAAGTTTCTCCATAAAATTGCATTATTTGCCTTGTCTTTCAGACACAAAATAATGCTTAACAGAAAGAAAACTCCAACATCCATTAAATGTATTGGAATAAAAAAAAATCCCATGTCCAAAAATAAGAACATGGCAAACCCAATCTGACCAACCTATATTAAATATTAATTGTTCCCTTAGCTTTTCTGCATCTGCATGGGTTTCACAAAGGACAAAAGAAATAATTGCACAGGGATTACATAAAGCCATATATTCTATTTATAAAACTGACTCGACATTGTCAGCACGCACTACAATGTCTTTAACATTATGATGATATTATAGTTGATATTTGCCTTTTAATAAAAGTATAAATCACTGTTTACTCTCTGAAGCTAACCTCACTCATGCTAAATTATTTATGTATCCATTTTAATATGTATTTTGCATCTGACAGGACAACTCTCCTTAGGACCCTTTTACTGACCCACCTGTCATTATGATGGGGTAAACAATGTCACCTTTCCCGTGCACAATGAATTACAAAGAAGTTGCAAAGTACACCATCCATCATGCTGGCACTAAGTAGGTTTTCGAAGTAGATCTCAGATATCACAACTGCTGTTTAGACTGTTACCAGAAAGCAAAAATTGGAAGCTTATACAAAACAGTCATATGATGAATGGATATGACAGCTCTTCAAAGAAAAGGGGCACTCCTCTTCTACAAATAACCTTGTCAAAAGCAAAGTAGTGGGGAGCTTTGCTGGCAGTCAGACTAGAATAATTTAAGAACTTGTTAATGGCTCTGCCTGATAGAAATTCATGCAAACACAGTGTACTCAAAATCAAAAAGTAGGTATGCCTGAATCATCAGTAGCAACCTCTCAAGCTTGATTTGAATTAGGGAATGGTCTGAAGAGATACAGAAAAATCACCAGTGTCCTATTAATTAGCATATGTGAGTTTCAATAATGCATCAGTCTAAAACATGTATATGAAATATATGCAAGTATTATATACGCATATAAAATAGTCACCTAGCAATTGCTATGCTTTTGAAAATCATAATATAGTTTAGTTTAAAAAATCAATATAACATTATATCCTTTATTGATATAGGTATTTAAATTATGTACTTAGTGTAATAGATTTGAATTATTAATATAATTCTAAAATAGTTATTGTCAGTGTCTTCATCTAATTTGCACGGTTAATTTCTCAAATTACGTTCTTCAAATACAAGGTGTTTGTTTTATCCATAATTGCATTTTAGTTCCTTTAAACACTACTCCCTTTTATTTAGGCCTAATATTTCAAACATGGAATATATTTCTATATCTATAGCTAACTTTATTTCTTCCTTTTAATAGCTACTTTAAGTCTTTTTCAACACTTCTTTTTAAAAAATTTATATATAGTAGGAGGGTCCCAAAGTGACTTCTGACTTCATGGACATTTAAGTAATTCCATGATTCTGTAGTAGACCTTGGTTTTCTATTATACGAAACAAAGAGAAAATTTAAACATCTATAATTGATAAGAAAAATGTGTAGAAAACTCTCAGAGGTATGGTTACATAGGAACGTAAAAACCAATCCATGGGCCCAGTGGATTACTGAAGAGGGCCACGCTGAGGAAACGGCGACAGAAATTGTAGTTTCATGGCTTTTCCATATCACCTCAATCAAGGAATAATGAATGTTTGCCAGAGGAGCTTGAACAGCAAATAGATGGGAGTGATTCTAAGGATCCACTCAAGCTCCTGGGGTTTCGTTGTTCTGTGTTTTGGATATGCTTTTGAGATGACTGTGCTGGACTTGAATCAACTGGGATAAAGAGGAGGCTGGAAACGTGTGGGGCTTATGCAGGGTTGGGAGTCTGAGAGGAAATACGTGGGGTAACTTTGGAATCTTGACTTGAGATGGAGGCTTCCGAATCCAAAGAGTGCTGGCAGTCTCCCTCTGTTTTTACTAATACATGGATGTTTTTCCATTATTGCCTACCAGAAATAGTTGATATTAATCAAAGCAAATTAGATGAGTGTTACACTAGAAATACTGCAGACATTTAATACTGTATTAACTTTTAATTTAATAACTTTATTAATATAAGTTAATAATTTAGCCAGCCCTGGTGGTCCACTGGTTAAGATTTGGTGCTCTCACCACTGTGACCCTGGTTTCTTTCCAGCTCAGAGAACCACACCACTCATCTGTCGGCTGTCATACCGTGGTGGCAGTGTCTTGCTGTGATGCTGAAAGCTAGGCCACTGGTATTTCAAATACCAGCAGGGTCACCCAACGTGGACAGGTCTCAGTGGAGCTTCCAAAGACAGACTAGGAAGAAGGTCCTGGCTGCCCAGTTCTGAAAAAACTGGCCATGAAATCCCTATGAATAGCATCAGAGCATTGTCTGATATAGCACTGGAAGGTGAGGGGATGGGGCAAAAAGACTAGGCAGGTTCTGCGATGCTGGGAGTCCGACTCACTGGGAGTTGGAATCCACTTCATGGCATTAACAACAAAAAACTTTTAATTAATGAAGGCTTTTTAAGGTGGTGTTGGTTATATATAGTCCTTCTGCTAAAAGTCAGAGAAGGATACAGCACTAACCTACTGGTAAATTGCCTCTCACCACTCCACCCCTCAAAAAATAAAAACGGTACTAGGAAAAAGCATGTATTTCTGTAATTTTAAGTGATTTAAATATTTCATATACTAATCAGAGTTAATAAGGTAGATTCTTAAAAATCTGTGCCAATAATTAACAACAATCAGAAACAACATTATTTTATTCGTTACATAAGGCAATCTACAGTTTTATAAAAGTCTAAATGTACTTATTAAAATGATACTTTTACATAGAGACAGAAAATTTGTCTTAAAGGAAACTAGTGACCAATTATATATTGTATCTAACTGGTATATTGTCCTTACTACAGGCTAGGCTCTGTCCTCCCAGATTTACATATATTAGCTTATTTAATTCTCCCAACAACCTTATGAAGTTGGAACTATTATTATCCTCATCTCTGTTCGAGATGAACAAACTCAGCCCTAGATGGTTAAGTAACAGTGGGTAATTGGGGAGCTGAGATTTTAACCCAGTCCGTGTGGCTCTAGAAGCCATGCACTTAACCACGGGAGGGGGGGGGGGGCAAAAAACCAGCTAACCCAGAAAAAGTAAAGCAATAATCCACACCTGGATCCCTAGCTCATGTGTTTTCCATCAAGAAAGCAGAAGCACTGTATTTCAAATCTTAAGCGTGAGAACAATCACATCAATTTTCCACTTCATTCCTTGTGTGCGTACACAATCTCAAAACACAACCACCTCCATTTCTATTCTTTCTATCATACCAATCTATTAAAATTTGCCTCTTGAAAACCAAAGAATGAAATGAACTTGCACTATACAGACGAAGCAAAATGTGAATGACTCAGTCACACATTCAACACTTTTGAATTAAATTCTTCTAACATGTTTTCACTTTCAAAACATGACAAGAAAAGGGTAAGACAATCCAAATCTTCCTTCCCCTTTCCTGGCCCCTCCACACTGAGACTATTTAATGGTGACTTTTGTATGCTGCATCTTGCCTGTTAGTTCCATTTAGATGAAAGCTGTGGTTTTCTAATTCCATTTCACTGTAAATGGCAGAGACAAATGGTCACATTACCTCTAGAGCTCCTTTGGCAGAATAGGCTGCGTATGAGTAGATCAGATCTTGGCTGCTATGTTTTCTGGCTTCTTCGCTGCAGGGCTGGCCATTAGGGTGAAAGCACTGGCCGCTGCTGCTCAGAGTCACAGAGCTGGGAGAAGGGCCTGGCAGATTAAGCAGCACGGAGTAATTTACAAACTGTACATCTTCTAGGCCCAAAGAAGTCCACTGAGTCTTAATCTTCTTTGAAATTTCTGTGTCATCTTCACTTTTATACAGTTGTACAAAACTTCTGAAAGAAATTTAAAAAGCAAACTCTAAAAAAAAGAGAACACCTTTATTCTTTTGAGTTATGACTGTTCGATATATGAACAATTATTAATAGATGTGGGATATGAAAGATGAATGAGGGCACTACACAAGAAACTCACAGTTTGATAGAGGTGATGAGCTAGCACAGAAATTACACAAATCAAAGCAGGATGAATTAAGTTCTTAAATTAAGAACTAATAAAGCACTATGGGACTGCAGAGAAGAGAGTGATTAATGCCAGCTAGTTCTTTTATTAGTTTTGATCCTTCTATCGACATCAACATAATCCATTTAAAACTCAGTTCCAAACTAGGAGTCATGCTGGTTGAGACAGTTCTGTATTGTAGTTAATATGATTCCATACAAAGCTATGTAATTAATATATTGTTATTACTTTTTAAAATGAAACAGAGAACTCTTTTGATATGAATTAAATGCCAAATTACATTACGCTACGAGCACAATGAAATGCAATAAAATCAGGATTTCACAGTAAAACCAACCACAAATTGTCCAAACCAACGTGAAATTTTTGTATGTGCTTGCTGTAGTCTATATATTTATCCCTATACCTGTTCTGTAATCCACAATGCCGCTATCTACTGTTGCTTTTGAAATCCTAGAAGCCAGCCAAGTCTGTTAAAAAACATGTATAGAACCTAGAACGGAATCAGACATGGAAATTAAAAAATAATAATCCAATAAAGTTTTGTTTTGTTTGGGGCTGTAACGCAAAGGGATCAGCTTCCTTTCTGGCAAAAACGTATCTTCTTATAAGCATTTTATTGCTATCCAAACTATTACCTAAATACCTGGATATTTTGATATTATTATTTTTGCCCATCATATTATTTTTCCCACACATACTTGTTTTTTTTTTTGGTGAGGAAAATTAGCCCTGAGCTAACATCTGTTGCCAATCCTCCTCTTTTTGCCGAGGAAGATTGGCCCTGGGCTAACATCTGTGCCCATCTTCCTCTACTTTACATGTGGGATGCCGCCACAGCATGGCTTGATAAGCAGCGCATAGGTTCTGCGCCGGGATCCAAACCTGCAAACCCCAGCCTGCCGAAGTAGAGCGCACGAACTTAACCACTACGCCACCAGGCCGGCCCTCATACTTGCTTCTTTTAGTAGTCTATTTATTCAAGAACCCCAAAATGGAACACATCTGAAAGGAATAAGAAATACACACAATAGAAAAAAAATACATACAATGATATAGGAAAGCGTTACTGGAAACAAAAGGTAGGTCTGTTGACACAACTGAAAAGCTGGTCTATAGAGGAACATGCAATAAAAATTTCCCAGTGTTTTCTATCTTTTTAAGGCTATTTCTATTTTTTTTAAATATCTAGTTTGACCAATCATGACTGCCATGTAAATTTTATGGAAGAGCTGATTGGAAGAATTCTATTTTTTATTCTGAATAAGACTAGTCTGCCTTCTATCCTGTCCTTTTTTGAGGTGTAATTGACAAAAGAAATTGTATATATTTAAAGTGTACAACCCACATGATGATTTGATATACATGCACATTGTGAAATGATTATCACAATCAAATTAATTAACATACCCATCACCTCACATAGTTATCTTTGTGTGTGTGTGCGCGTGTGTTGAGAACGCTTAAGATCTACACTCTTAGCAAATTGCAAGTACACAGTGCAGTATTACCTATAGTCACCATACTATACATTAGATCCTCAGAACTTATTTATCTTATAACTGAAGGCTTATACCCTTTGACCAACATCTCCTCTTTCCCGGAGCCTCTGGCAACTATGATTCTACTCTGTTTCTACAAGTTCAACTTATTCCCTCCCCCACATATAAGTGATACTGTGCAGTATTCTGCCCTCTCAGTCTGGCCTATTGCACATATCATAGGGCCCCCAAGTTCATGTATGTTGTTGCAAATGGCATGATCTCCTTTTGTACAGTTGAATGATATTCCATTGTGTGTGTGTGTATACATATATCTATCTGTATACACATTTTCTTTATCCATTCATCCATCCATGAATACTTGGTTGTTTCCATGTCTTGACTATTGTGAAGAATGCTGCAATAAACATGGCAGTGCAGATCTCTCTTCTAGATACTGCTTTCATTTCCTTTGGATATGTACCCAGAAGCAGTATTGCGGGATCATACGGTAGTTCTATTTTCAATTGTTTGAAGAACCTCCATACTGTTTTCCGTAACGGCTGTACCAGTTTACATTCCCACCTACTGTGTACAAAGGTTAGCTTTTCTTCACATCCTCACCCGCATTTGTTATCTCTTGTCTTTTTGATAATAGACATACTAACAAGTGTGAGGCATTATCGCATTGTGGTTTTGTTGTTGGTTAGTGATGCTGAGCACCTTTCATGTATCTCTTGGTCACTTGTTTCTCTTCTTTGGAGAAATGTCTATTCACATCCTTTACCCATTTTTCAATTGGACTGTTTATGGTTTTTTCCTATTGAATTGTCTGAGTTCCTTATATATTTTAGATATTAATCCCTTATCAGATATACAGTGCGTAAATATTTTCTCCCATTCCATAATTGCGTTGTCATTTTGTTTGTTTCTTTTGTTATGAAGCTTTATTGTTTGATGTAGTCCCACTTGTTTATTTTTGCTTTGTTGCCTGTGCTTTCGTTGTGATATTAAAAAAAATTGAAAAGACCAATGTCAAGAAGTATTCCCTTTTGTTTTCTTTTAGAAGTATTGCAGTTTCAGGTCTTACATTTAAGTCTAGTCCATTTCAAGTTAACTTTTGTGAATGGTGTAATACAGGGGTCCAATTTCATTCTTTTGCATGTGAATATCCAAATTTCACAATACCATTTACTGAAGATATTATTGTTTCCTCATTGTGTATTCTTGGCTCCTTAGTCAAAAATTAAGTGAACATATATGTGTCGGTTTATTTCTGGGCTCTTTATTCTGTTCCATTGATCTATTTTTGATCATTGAATCTATATCAGTGATCACTTTTGACCAAATAGATCATTGATATGGTTTTATGCCAATACCATAACATTTTGATTACTATAGCCTCATAATATAGTTTGAAATCAGTAAGTGTAATGCCTCCAACTTTGTTCTTCTTACTCAAGATTGCTTTGGCTATTCAAGGTCTTTTGTGCTTTCACACAAATTTGAGGATTGTTTGTTCTATTTCCATGAAAAATGCCGTTAGAATTTTGATAGGGATTGAAATAAATCTGTAGATGGATTTGGGTAGTATGGACATTTTAACAATATTAATTCTTCTAATCCAAGAACATGAGATATCTTTCCATTTATTTGTGTATTTTTCAATTCTTTTATCAATGTTTTATAGTTTTCAGTGTACAGGACATTCACCTCCTTGGTTAAATTTATTCCTATGTCTTTTATTGTCTTTAATGCTATTGTAAATGGGATTGTTTTCTTAATTTCTTTTTCACATACTTTGTTGTTAGTGTGTAGCATTGCAATTGATTTTTTATGTTGATTTTGTATCCTGCAACTTTACTGAATTTGTTTCCTAGTTCTAATAGTTTTTTGGTGGAAGCTTTAAGGTTTTCTGTATATAAGATCATGTGATGTGCAAATAGACAATTTTACTTCTTTCTTTCCAAAATGGATAAATTTTATGTCTTTTCCTTGACTAATTGCTCTGGCTAGGACTTCTGATTCTATGTTGAACAAAAGTGGAGAGAGGGAGCATCCTTGTCTTGTTCCTGATCTTAGAGGTAAAGCTTTTAGCTCTTCACTGTTAAATATGACGTTAGCTGTGGGCTTATCACATACGGCATTTATGATGTTGAGATACATTCCTTCTATACCTAATTTGTTGAGAGTTTTTATCATGAAAGGGTGTTGAATTTTGTCATATGCTTTTTCTGCCTCTCAATAGATGATCATGTGATTTTTATCCTTCATTCTTTTAATATAGTGTATGAAGTTTATTGATTTGCATATTTTGAACTATCCTTGCATCCCAGGGATAGATCCCACTTGATCATGGTGTATGATCCTTTTAATATGCTGTTGAATTCTGTTTGCTAGTATTTCGTTGAGGATTTTTACATCTAGGTTCATCAGGGATATTGTTCTGTAATTTCCTTTTCTTGTAAAGTTCTTCTCTGGCTTCAGTATCAGAGTAATGCTGGCCTCATAAAATGTGTTTCAGTTTTTTGGAAGAGTTTGAGATGGACTGGCATTAATTCTTTTTTAAACGTTTGGTAGAATTCACCAGTAAAGCCATCTTCTCCTGGGCTTTTCTTTGTTGGGAGATTTTTGATTACTGATTTGATCTTCTTTCTAGTTATAGGTTTATTCAAATTTTCTATTTTCTTCATGATTCAGTCTTGGTAGGTTGTATGTTTCTAGGAATTTATTTATTTCTTCTAGGTTGTCCAATTTGTTGGCATACAATTGTTCATGGTAGTCTTTTGTGTTTCTTTTTATTTCTGTGTTGTCAGTTGTAATGTCTCCTTCATTTCTGATTTTGAGTCTTCTCTTTTTTCTTAGTTAGTCCAGCTAAAGGTTTGCCAATTTTGTTTCTTTTCAAAAACCAGCTCTTACTGTTGTTGATCTTTTCTATTGTTTTTCTAGTCTCTACTTCATTTATTTCTGCTCTGATCTTTGTTGTTTCTTTCCTTCTGTTAACTTTGGGCTTATTTGTTCTTTTTCTAGTTCCTTGAAGTACAAAGTTAGGTTGCTTATTTGAATATTTTTTCTTAATGTAGACATTTATCTCTATAAACTTCCTCTAGGAACTGCTTTTCCTGCATCCTCTATAAGTTTTGGTATGTCCTGTTTCCATTTCTGTTTGTCTCAAGATATTTTTTGATTTCCCTTTTGATTTCTTCCATGACACATTCGTTGTTCAGGAGTATGTTGTCCAATTTCTACATGTTTGTAAATTTTCCAGCTTTCTTCTCATTTTTGATTTCTAGTTTAATACCATTATGATCCGAAAAGATATTTGATATGAT